GGCTCAGATCTACCGTCACCGCTGGTCCACAACGGGCGGAACAAGATCCGACCTACAGGCTTCTCGCAAAATACCTGCTCCATTTCCTATGGGCTGTCCTGGGGGTCAGCCTGAATGGAAACGTCGCCTGCTTTGTCGAGTAATGCTACTGCAGAGGAGCGAATGCCACATCCACAGCCCAGGCCATGGGCAGGATAGATCGGTATGCGCATTTTCAATATCAACTCGCCAATACACAGAGGAAAGATATGGTTACGAGGCTACATGGCCCAGTGGATGCGGCTAAGTGGCTATATAAATTGATTAATATAACTTCTGAAGGTTACGGGCTGACGATACAACGCTGTAGTGGTGTTTTTAATTCAAGGTATTTTCAAACAACTAACATACCTGGACAGCAGATGCCCAGCATACCTTTGACGTCATTATAACCCTGATGGGCCTTGTTACTAGGGGCTGTATGGGCGTGTATAGTGTGTCGTGACCTCGTACCTGTCAGCGCTATACTGTCATCCACATCCACCCAGTTCCAAATGAGCGCAGGCAGTACGCGCATTTACAATTTTCCTATAGGCTAGTAAGGGTGATCGAGAATAACAACCATGGGCATTCCACAGCGCGGAAGTAGACATCCTGCCTATAACCAGCGATAGCCGGGGGAGTAGATCAGCCAATCACAGGCAAAATGGCCCCCTCATCAGTCATGAGTAAGGTGCTGCGGTTGTATCTTCCACCTGGGTTGTTCGGGAAGACACCATGCATAAAAGGGTCAGGGTGGCTTCAGCATAATGCAAGTCGGAAACATACCAAGAAACAGCAAAATGGAGCCCATTCACACCTCATCTGCGCCCAAACGGGCGATCCGCATCGGCGGTGCAAGCGGCGGATTTACGGATCGGCAGCGAAGCATCTTGTCCCTTGCTAGAGACAACGATGTCGATGTCATCATAGGTGACTGGATGAGCGAAATGACAATGCAGTGGCACGGCGCGGAGAAAGCTGGCCGAGCTCAGTTCAAAAGCCCTGGTGCTTCTAGCCCTATTACGACGTTCGATCCATCTTTCATGGGCACTTTCACTCCTGCCTTGCCGTACCTACAGCAGCGCGGGATCAAAGTGGCCGTGAATGCGGGTGCCAGTGAACCAGACAAACTGGCCGGACTCGTCATTGCTGCTATAAAAGAGCAGAACCTGGATCTTAAGGTCGCCTGGATCCAAGGGGACGAGGTAATCGATGTCGTGGGGCGACTGATGGAACAAGGCGAGAAGTTCGAGAACATCTGCTTTGGTGGGAATTTAGAAGACTGGCAATTCAAACCAATCGCTGCCCAGTGCTACCTTGGTGGTGCTGGCATCGCAGAGGCGTTCGGAAAAGGCGCAGACATTGTGATCTGTGGCAGAGTCTCCGACGCAGCGCCTGTAGTCGGGGCGTCGATGTGGTGGCATGGATGGGACCGCAACAGAGACTTCGACGAGATAGCAGGATCATTGATCGCCGGACACCTGATCGAGTGTTCCAGCTACGTTTGCGGTGGATATTACAGCGGCTTTAAAGATCTTTTCGATGGCTGTGAGAATATCGGGTTCCCGATTGCTGCGATAGACAAGGACGGGACCTTCACATTAGAGAAAGAGCACGGCACCGGCGGTGAAATGTCGGTGGGAACGGTGACGTCCCAGCTCTTGTATGAGATTCAGGGTCCTCGGTATTACGGCTCAGACGTGGTGGCACTTCTTGAAGGTATCCAGATACGGCAGATTGCCAAAGACGAAGTCCTGGTAACCGGGGTAAAGGGATCCCCACCGCCGACAACGACAAAGGTCGGCATCACGGCTCGCGGTGGCTACCAGGCTGAGTTTCACTTCTACATGTGTGGCCTGGACCTCAAGGAGAAAGCTGCCTGGACCGAGAGGCAGATACGCCACAGTATGGGCGAGAATATCTCCAAATTCTCATGCCTTAAGTTCAGCCTCAATGGCTGGTGTCAGGAAAACCCAGAGAACCAGGATGTAGCAACGGTTGACTTCCGCATATTGGTCCAGACACAAGACAAGGGGTTGCTTGGTGCGGGATCAATGGTCGGTTTCCAACGGTGGTGCATGGAGAATTTCCTGCAGAGTGCACCCGGCGCGAGCATTGAGAACGACTTGAGACAGTGCACCGGCAAAGAATTCTTCGAATACTGGGTCGCTTTGATGCCCCAATCTGAGATCGTTCACGAGGTGAGTCTGCCCTGGCTGGACCAAACCATCCGGGTCCCTCCTGCAGCCAACCTCGAGGACTACGGAAAGACATACGCAACAAGGCAATGGAGCTACGAGACGGACAGCCCAGTTGATGCAGCTTCATTTGGCCCTGTAAGCAGCGCGCCCCTAGGTAGGGTTGCCCTGGGTCGTTCCGGAGACAAGGATTCGGACGCAAATGTCGGCTTCTTCGTGCGGAACGACGATGAATGGCATTGGCTTCGATCATATCTCACGGTAGCCAAGATCAAGGAATTGCTGGGCCCAGAATACAATGGGAAGTCCGTCGACCGATTTGAGATTCCCGCCATTCGCGCGGTGCATTTTCTGCTCCACGATCATCTTGATCGGGGCTGGGGTGCTACGAGCACATATGACGGGCTGGGCAAAAATGTGTGCGAGTATCTCAGGGCGAAGCATGTTGAGCTTCCAAACATTTTCCTGGAGAAAGGCCAGGTGTCTCACCAGGCAAGGTTGTACACTTGACACAAGATGGCCGACTCATGCTTTTCTTTTATTTTCTCTACTTTCCCCTTTGACACTCCATAGCTCCATAGCCATCAATACAATTCTGTGGTAGCAGCTTTTGAAGCCGTGCAACTGATTTGTCTTCTGGTCGTGGAAGCGGGCATTCATATACTACGGAGACCTACGCAAATGAGGCGTATTAAAAGAGGTTGAAGCCGGACTCCTTCGAGTTCGGGTATCAGGGCTTTCGGCGTCAGCTCCTCCCTGCCCACTCTTGCCATTCGCTGCCTACAGCATGCGCTTTATTTCTAGGACCTTGTTACTATCTCACAGGCTCCAAAGTTCCAGGTCAGGCATTTAGACACCTGGGACAACATTCCAAATATCCTTGGATCTTTGCACGAGTGTGTTGAGATCGGGCCCTTTACGAACATCGCAGTCCTGGAAATATTCAGCCTGTTCCGCCCCGGAGGCCGAGGTCCAACCATGGAAACCCGGCGAACAATATATAGAGTAGACTTCTTCACAGGGGACAAACATTTTAGACTTTCGCTTCCTACCAAGGTTCGTGTATCCTAGTACCTGTCTGGATATACAATTCCGACACATGTCTACTTCAAACCCTACCCGGAATTGGAAAGTTCCTAGCGCTATTCAAGACCATATATACATGCGGACAGACAACTTGTCAGCAAACAGAAAAAAATCGAGAGGCCTATTTAGCAGTCATCAACCCAGCCAGTATTTATCACCAGAGTCATTTTCAGCGGTTCTATTATCACAGTTCTAAGGTTTCCCTTAAACTATGCTGCGGATGATCACTTCCGGGTATAACTCTATTCAGGCCCACCTGGCCGGTGCGTCGCAAGACCATTTCCGGCCGAAGATCACTAGGTGAAGCTTTCGATAACCCTGAAGCCCATATATATCTCGTGGTTTGTGATGCACCGACTGGATCGCTCATATTTGGTTATGCGTATCTCGCTCATCATTCAAACCTACACCTTGAACAATGTCTGAAATCAAGGGTGATCTAGAAGACACCGGCGACACCCGCAATGCCGTGGGCGATAAGATGGAAGGGTTTGAGTCGCACTCTGAGCCCGGTACTTTCAGTGCTGATAGGGGCGATATGCCTCCCGGGTACTTCACCAGCCCCTTCTTTCTGGGCACCATGGTAGCATCCGGGTTCGCTATTGCAGGGGTAAGTGCAGTTATTTATCATTCTGGACGGTTCTAGAAACGGAGGCTAACTGTATGCTACAGGGAACAGGAGGCTTTGCGCTTGCGGCGCCTATTCTGAGCATCATTAATACCGACATTGGGCCCGATCCGAACTATACCTGGGTCAGCTTGTCTTATACTCTAACCCTTTCCATCGGCCTCACACTTGTGGGCCGGCTCTCCGATCTGTTCGGACGCCGCTGGTTCTTTATTCTTGGAAATATGCTTGCTGTCATCGGGAGTATTGTTTGCGCAGTTGCATATAATATAAATATGGTCATCGGCGGCACCGTTCTAATTGGACTCGCAGCGTCAACTCAGCTCTCATTCCCATTCGTTGTCGGGGAGATTGTTCCCATGCAGTATCGATTCATCGCAAACGCATACATCTATGCATGGTCCATTCCAACGTCTGGACTGGGCCCGTTAGTGTCGTACGCCTTTGTGCTACACACGAGCGCAGGCTGGCGCTGGTGCTATTACTTGATGATTATTGTGAATGGGCTGGGTGTTATCTGCTGGTTCCTCTTCTATCATCCGCCGACATTCTCTATGAAGAATCAATCCGCGAGCAAGTGGGCTATGGTAAAGGGATTTGATTATGTAGGCTTCATTCTCTTTACCGGCGGGCTCCTGATCTTTCTTATTGGCCTCTCATGGGGCGGAGCGGTTCACCCTTGGAAATCAGCGCATGTTATCGCGACTATAGTAGTCGGGTTTATGGCGTTGGTCGCCTTTGCGTTGTGGGAATTATTCGCAAACCTGAAGGAAAAGTTACTCCCAATGCACCTGTTCCGGAACCAAGGTCTGTTTCCCTGCTCGTCACTAGTTCCAGCTTTGGGATATTGACGCACACCCCGACATTATCTAGGCTGGAACGCTTCAATCCTCGTGCTCTCTCTGGGTGCATCAGTGTATTACGCCTTTTCAATTATCCTCCCGCAACTCGTCTTCGGCGTCTATACGGACGACCTGTTCTACGGTTCCGGTCTGTCCTGTATAGTTGGTGCTTGTATTGTTTTGGGCCAGATTACTGGCGGTCTACTTGCCAAACATATCGGGAAGCAAAAGTGGCAGCTAATATTCTCGTGTGCCGCATTCATGGGCCTTCTCGGTGGCGTCTCCTGTGTTACTGTCGATAATAGGAGCACTGTTATTGGCCTTCTAATTGTGGGCTGCTTTTTCTGCGGCTGGGTCGAGTCTCTCGGCCTCGGAATGGCGAGCATCCTCGTCGACGACCAAAGCGAGATCGGTACAGCCGTTGGCGTTGCTGGATCAGTGAGGTCCACCGTCTCGACTGTGGCATCAACGATCTATCTGGCGGTTCTCACTAACCGTCTGGGAAAAACCGTCCCGTCCGAGGTATCCCCAGCGGTTACAGACGCTGGCCTCCCACCGTCTTCCGTCGCTGCATTTATAGAGGCCATTACGGCTGGCTCATTTGAGGGAATTCCAGGTGTGACACCCGATATTATTAAGATTGGATCCCACGCATACAAGGTTGCGAGTGCCCAAGCATATAGCACCGTCTTCCTCACATCGATCGCGTTCAGTGGCCTGGCGCTTATCATGAGCGTCTTTTGTCCGAACGTCGATGATCGGATGACTGGAATGGTGGCAACTACGTTGCATAGGGGGCGAAGACATCAGATTCCTGGCATAAAGAAAAAGAGCACGGGATTAGCTTGACGCTCGATTTGGAGAGGGTAACCCTAAAAACAGAGGGCTCGGTACAAGATAAGTTGGAGTTATATATATCTGTCCCTAAACTTTATAAATTGCCAATATATCCAAACCATGTTATTTTCATATACAATATAGATTCCCCGCATAATGAATTATTGAATTATAAAGCGCAATTAAATCTAATTAATTGTCATAGATAGATAGTTTTAATATTATAGCAACCCTGAGCAAACAGGACGATGTCCGCTGCAAAGCGCCCCCAATCGGTCACGCCGCAAATGACGATCTTCGCTCTGGAATGAAGAGAAGCTTGGCTTCTTTCTGCATCGATCGACATCACAACTTGGGCCGCGTGCTTGACTGGAAAAGGGCTGCTGTACCCGACTCCAGCCCAGCCGCGCCGCCCAGGTCGAATACCGTATATCCTGCAGCTGTTATTGGATTAGTCCCGTCACCCCCGATGGCCGATTGGCTAGCGAAGGGCTCGTGGGCCCTGTGCGCGAAGCTGACGTGAGAGTGCCATCTGCCATGAGGCTCAATTCCCCCCCCTCCTTATAAGGGACGGATTGGCCCCCAGAGAGTGGAGCTGCAACCACGACGAAGAAGACCGGGTTTCTATGAATCTCGCTCCACGATGGCCTCCGAGTTGAAAGGCGACAACGCGCCCACGTCCGTCAAGGAGATCTGGGAGAAGACCATCGCTCGCTTCCAGGAGCGTACGGGGCAAAGGCTCGACGGTGTCTCGAGAAGTTCTGATGACCTCCAAAGGGTCCTTGAAGCCCATTATGCAACGCAAGCGGACGATGAAGCTGCATCAAAGGCGAAGTCCGTCGGCTTTCAGATGATATACTGTATCCAGCTCCTGGGCGGCCTCGTGGCCGAGGGTGCGTCTATGGTGAGCGATGATGATAACAAATAACACGGCGCTGCAGCTGATTACAATGAACCAATATCTAATATGGCCTAGGTATTTGCCCCCGCAGGACTCTGTTTCAATGCCCTTTCTTTCCTTCTGGATATTCCTAAAAAGGTCCATGAGTTCCATGGCGAAATCAATGCTATCTTCGCAGAGGTCGGCCCGGCTCTTGCACAGTTCCGCATCTACGAGCGCATGGAAGAAACCTCGCAGATTGACCAGGCGCTGCGCATGTCCATCTACCAGGTAATGACAAGCTTGGTGAACCTGTGCGCCGACTGTATCAATATCCACCACGAGGGCCGATGGAAGAGTTTCAAACGCAACGCCAAGCGTGTTTTGCTGGACGACGGATCTGTCAAGGAGGAGCTGGATAATTTCAAGACCCTCACTCAGAATCAGCTAGATATCCAGGCGACGCTGACCCTCGAGGTCGCCGTGGAAACAGGCCAGCACGTCAGGCTTTTGCGAACCACGACAGTCGAGATCGACGCCAACACAAAGGCCATCAAGAGCGACGTCTCTGGTCTCGTGGAGGCAGAGCACAAGCGGTCGCTGGACGACAATCGAAAGCAGAGCCTGAGCACCATAAAGTCGAAACTCGACCAGAAGGGCGAGAAGATCGCTTCGGCGCTCGAGGCTCGGGATAATATGTGGAAGGGCTGCATCCCGGACAGCGGGAAATGGCTGCACGAGGTCGATGCATACAAGCAGTGGATTGGAAGAAACGGCGCAACAGGGTCTCTACTCGCGCTGACTGGGGATGTTGGAACCGGCAAATCCTTTCTAGTCTCTACAATATTCCAAGAAATTAGGTCTGGTAACCTGGCCACGAAGGCTGAGCGCACCTTGATCGGCTACTACTCCTTCTCAAGAGTCGGGAATGGGGACAGAGAGAGCGAGAGGCATCGGCCTGAGGATGCGATCAAGTCGATCTGCGTGCAGCTGGCGGAGCAGGACTTTGTCTACGCAAGGCGTGTTTCTGGTGTGTGTAACGAGCTGGGGAAGGACGAAAGGTACTTCAGGGATGCCAGCTGCAAAGAGCTCTGGGCGACTTTGGAAATAGGGGCACCGACGAAAAATACGACGCATTACATTCTACTCGATTCGATCAGTGCCCTCAACGCGGAGGAGCGTGAGCGACTTGCGGAGGCAATTGAACAAACCAGCCAAAGCAAGTCAGACCACGTCCGAGTGCTGGTCACTGGGGAGCCAAGCGCGTTCCAAGAAGGAAGGCTTTCATCTTCCTCAGTGCAGAGTATAGAAATTTCACAGTTCAACGAGGTCGATATCAAAGCCTTCATCGTGGAGGAGTTGAAGACGGCCACCGTCTTCCAGGGAGCGGACGAGGACTCGCAGCGACGCAAAAAGATGGTCGAGGAGCGCCTCATCAAGCGGTCCGGCAATTCATATTCCACAGTACAGCACGATCTGCGTAAGGTCCGAGAGATTATCGCGTCGGGTGGCACAGAGGAGGAGCTCAACCGGGCATTGCAGGAGTCGAGCACAGACCCGGATGCACTGGTGCGATCGGACCTCGAAACGCTGGAAGCGGTTCTCAAGCCGCGCGAGATCGAGGAGATCAACGAACTTCTGATCTGGGCAGTGGCTGGACACGGATTCTTTGATCTGGAAGAACTGGCGGCGGCGTTGTTCCTCTCCTTCAACACCGTCTCTCTGCTGCCGCTGGAGGAAAAGATAAACGGAAAATACTCCAAGCTCTTCACGTTGACCGACGGCGGCAGGTATCTGGTCCTCAAAGACCATGTCCAGGACTCTGTTGTTGCCCAGCGAGTCAAGCCCAGGCAGTCGGAGGATGAGCCCAAGATCACTGCCACGATCAACATCACCAATGGCGATTCCAAGCTGGTCCAGCGCTTCTTCTGGGACTTGAACCACCACACCTTCCAGGGCGGATTTGCATTCAACCCTGGGTCTGGAGCACCGAACTCCGGCAAAGGAAAGATTCAGGTGTACGAAGCCGATGCTCATCTCGCCATTGTGAAGCGAGCCTTCGACTTCTTTCTCCAACCATCTGTCGACAAAAGAGCCAATGCCCTGGGGCGGTACCTTATGGCCTTTATCCCCATCCACCTCAAGGCCCTGTCCGAGTTGACCGGCCTGGAAGAGCTCCAGACCGCCGATAAGCAATTCATTGGGTCGCATGTCTACGAGATGTTCAACGATGGCGATCTGATCGAGCACAACTGGGAATTCTGTGAGTGGGTGTCCTGGTACGGCAATCATGAAGACCTGGACATCTTCTGGAAGTGGCTGGACGACCCAGTGGCAGTCGCCCGTCTAGGCCGGCGGGACAAGCGTTGGCTGGCCGAATTGAAGAAAGACAACCATCGCAATTCAAGTCTGTTGACCCCCATAATGACGATGGTTGCTCGACATTGGCTGCAAGAGACCAGCTGGGGCGTCTCTACAGCATTCTCCTGGATACGCGAGTTCCTGGCTTTGGTGAGTTGTCGAGTCCGATTTGTCGCTGTTGCGCCTAACCCTTGTCGGCAGGATGCAGAACTGGAGCAGAATAACGAAAGCAGTGGGGATGGGGAGCCCAAGGGGTCGACCAAGGATGATGGTGGGCGAGTCATTATATACCCTGACGACGACACGCCAAAATCCATCGCCAAATCGGAGCAGTGGTGCCGGCAGGTCTTAAAGGTCACCGAAGCAGACGTAGACTCGACATGGTTGACACGACTAGGTGACACATACGCTGAAGAGGCGAGTGACAATGATATCGCGACTGAGCACTATAAGAAGGTATGCAAGTTTCTGTCGCTCTGTGTGGACCAGACCGTGCTAAAACTAGCATCAACAGGCTGCCTCGCTTCTTCAAGCTCAGGATCCCGTCAACAAGGAACAGCTGCGAGACGTGCTCAAGGCTCTCAGCCGATGGTCGACCGACTTGGAGAGTGCGCTACAATATCTCCAGGAAGCCTCCAAGCAGGACGAAGGAAACGCCGAGATCCTCTATTCCCTGGTCCAGCGATATGTTGGCAGCAAAAATGAGGACAAGGCGCGATCCATCATCCAGAAGGCCATGGACGAGAAGGTTCCCGACACGGAATCGACTCTGTTGACAGCTATGCTCCAAGCCGCTGCGGCCAACGGCAACGATGCCGATGCGCTGTCTTTCTTCAAAGCTACTTATTCACTGATGTCCTCCTCTCCCGAGTGGTGGGCTGTCTTTCAACATGAAATGCAGGCAGCAATCACAGTCGTCCGTGCAGAGAACAAGCACTACGATCTCGCGATACTACTGCTGCAGTTGGGAATCGCCGAGTACTACCAATACAGGGACTCCCCCACAGAACTGGCGAGTGCTGTAAGCCATTTGCATGAGTGTTTGGAGACAATCAAAGAGAAGGCGACCGCCGAAGAACGAGAACGGCTTGATAACACGAAGGAAGACGCCCTTTTTCAGCTCAGTATGCTCCATCTTGAGAAGGCGATGCAACCGGACACTGAGGAATCGGAGCATGACTTGGACAAATTACGGCAGATTCATGAGGATAACCCAGATGTCCCTGGCCCCAGGGCAATGCTTGCGTCGTTGTACACTTTCAAGGGTCAGAGGGATAAAGCCCGCGACCTCTATCGAACCCAATTGGCACAGGCATTCGACATCCTGGCTGATGATGATTTGAACAACGATGGCAGCGGATTCCGCCCGCTTGGTAACCTTCTAATCCACGCCGGAGATTATGAGAATGCGCTGCGAGCTAGGTTGCAGCTTCCACCGTGGGTTTTCGACAAGGACATACTGGAAGGGTTTCTTGCCGTAACGGAGCCGGTTTTGGAAGAAGCCACGGCAGAGCTTGTTCAGTTCTATGAAACAGAGTGTTCGAGAGAGAGAAGAGCTTGGAATAGGTTCCAGAAAATTTGGAAGGAAGCGAAGAGACTGGGGTGCGAAGCCGAAGTCGGGAGTGAGCGGGCGACCTGGTACCAGAAGGTGGATGAAACACTGGAGCAAATCTCGCTGGCAGTCGACGGGGGCTTCATCTGCAACAACTGCGATCGCCCCTGGGACTTTGACACTGGTCTTCACACCTGCAAGTATTGTTACGACATGGACCTCTGTGATGACTGCTGGAACGCGCTGCAATCAGGCGGAATTGGAAAGACTATTGTATGCAGGAGTACGCACGATTGGTTCAAAATCGCGCCGTGTACAATGGAGAACCATATCCAGGCATCTAGGAGGACAGTTTCCATGAATACCGACGACGGAGACGAGGAGTTGGTCCCTGTGTCCAAATGGCTAGGGACGCTCTGTGAGGAATGGGGTCTCTCCAAGGCTAACTGGGGGTTTGAGTAGCTGTGCAGTTTCCTATGATGAAAGACCTATTCAATAATCAGGATATACATGTAAAGCACTAAAGGGGGATAGTTTACCTGCAAATTGGGGCTTTGCCGGGGCTGCAATGATTAATGTTAGTCACAGAATGCGGCTTTTTCTCGGCCATGGGGAGCTGCGGATGACGATGGCCATCAGATATGCCCGGACTAGAACATGCAAGGTACCCATAACGAACTGCAGAAAGGTCCTGACACTCCTGAAGAAAATCCTGGACGACTCGTTGCCATTCCTAGCACCATGTGTGAACGACGATCTCCACTTGCAGCCCACCTCTTCATCCACTCCTGCCATGTCGGTCCACTATTACGGAAAACACCACGAAATCACTGGATTCTAGCCGTGGGAAATCGCTCTTGACCAAGAACTGCCAAGTAACCCATGTGGAACTCCCAAGGCCCTTCAGGTTTCGGAACTGTAAACCCGGATAACGCAACACGCGCCGGTCTATATACGGTTCGCTACCGGGCCGGGCTGCCCCTGCAATACACAGGCTCTATTAAACTGTTCAAATTTCCGAGGAGAGAATCATCACAGATAAAATGTCTTTCCATCTCAAGGCACTGGCGTGTGCTGCTTTGGCTGCTACAACCTCTGCGTCTCCCTTGATTCATTCACGGGGCGCCGATACATCCTCCACCGATCAATACACCGAATTCAACAGCTCGCTTCCCAATGTGACTATACTAGCCACAGGTATATTATCGCCCTTTTTCTACAGCCGGATGGAGTGTCCGTCCGTTAACCCGAATACAGGGGGCACAATTGCCGGCACGAGTGAAGACGAAACCGCAACAGCGGGCTATGAATCCGGCGCTTTAGGGATTAATAAAATCCTCTCTGCGATTCCAGCAGTCCGCGAAGTCGCAAACGTCCATGCTGTCCAGTTCGACAACATTAACAGCGGCGATGTCTCCTCGTCGGTTCTCTTGAACCTGACGCACACATTGCAGACAACTGTCTGCGACGATCCCACCATGTCCGGTGCGGTGATCACGCACGGCACCGATACTCTCGAAGAATCCTCCTTCTTTATCGACGCAACGGTCAACTGCCGCAAGCCCGTTGTTTTCGTTGGCTCGATGCGGCCTTCAACCGCCATCTCAGCTGATGGGCCCATGAACCTTCTCCAAGGTGTGACCGTGGCTGCGGACAAGGAGGCCACAAACCGTGGCTCGTTAGTTGTGATGAACGACCGCATTGTGTCGGCCTTCTTCGCGACCAAAACTAACGCGAATACCGTGGATACATTCAAGGCGTATGAGCAAGGCAATCTGGGTATGATTGTGTCGAATAAACCCTATTTCTACTATCCGGCTGTCCAGGCAAATGCAAAGCACTTTGCTGATGTTGCGGGTGTGTCGGCCATTCCGCGAGTCGATATCCTATATGCATATGAGGATATGCACAGCGATTTGCTTTATAGCGCTGTCGAGAATGGCGCTAAAGGAATTGTGGTATGTCCTGCCTCATGTCATTACAGTTGAGCTGAACTATGTAGTTATTGCATTACAGTGCTGATGGTATTGGTATTAGATCGCCGGCGAGGGCGCAGGAGGCATCTCGACCGACTTTGGCAATGCCATTAACGACATTGTGACCAGTACCGGCATCCCGGTCATTTTGAGCCACCGGACTGTCAACGGCGAGGTCCCTACAGCTACTGTCTCAGGAGACGACAAAAACACCCAGATTGCCAGCGGAATGTTCAATCCCCAGCAGGCGCGAGTCTTGCTTGGGCTGTTGTTAGCAGAGGGAAAGGGGTTTGAAGAAATTCGCAGTGTGTTCGGGAAGGCCACTACAGCGTGAGCACTTAGAGATGAGTAGATACAGAAGAGGCCCTGTTGCATAGAAACACTCTGGGGACTCGCGCCAGACAGCTGGCCAGTCGACGCTGGCGTGAGTATACCTGTTGCATGACAACACTGACCAGACACAAAGTGTATATATATATAATATGATTAACTGGATATAGAGGCTGCGGTTGTAATGAATAAAATTCTGGTAGGAAATACTTACGATTTCGGACGAGTAAAAGAATAAAGATTAGCAGCCTCGCGTAGTAGTGATGGCAGCGGTGTTTACAAAGTCTACTACACCATCAGCCGGTGTCAGGACACACATTATTCTGGCATGTTGATGACGAACTAATCCGACCAGACATCAAAGACAAGATATGCGATGACTTCATCCATGCACATCTAACTGGCTACGGAAAGCTCGATCACTGTCCTGTTCCCCAGCATCCTGGGCGCCAGGGAGTCATTGACGATCACCCACTCCGTACAGCCATCGTCCAGATTATCCACAAACCCGCCGCCGTACACCCCGCCGTCAGCGAAGACATCGCAAGTCTCAAGAAGGTACCAGAACGTGTCTTTGCAGAAGTCTCCCAGCGGGGTATCGGCTTTCGGTGCGCAGTTTGTTTGGTCGTCTGCCCATTGTATGTAAGCTGTCAGTCCATCCGGCATCACAACAGCGTGGATCGGGATATCCGGCGACAGGTGGTCTGCGATCGAGAAGCAAAGGTTGTCGACAACTTCCTCGGATATGCCGAGGTCGAAGGACTCGTAGCGGTTGTCGTCGTTGATGTCCCGGAAACACAGTGGGTTGAAGCCTGTCTCGGGCGTGAGAGTTGGGAATGGCGTGCCGGTCGGCTCGGGGTTGTCCGGGTTGTCGCTGGTAGTCGTTGACGTCGGCCTTGTCGGTGGCTCTGAAGGCATGGTGTATTCGAAGTCGCCGGAGTATATCATTGTTGCAAAGCCGTCGGTGTTGCCGTCGTCGGTGAGTGGGCAGGTTACGGTTTTTGTGGTGGTTGTTGTGCTGTCGGTTGCGGAGCAGGCTGAGAAGGTCCGCGTGCAGTCTTCCTGGCATGTTGATGTTGTGGACTCAGGATAGAGTTCTACACGGCATTGTTCCCGACACCAGGAGCCAGTCTCGCGCGTGGAGCACGTTGTTGGACCGTCATCTCCAGGGCCTCCGCCGCCACTTCCTTCTCCGCTGCTGCCACCACCACCTCCGCAGCCTTTACCCACACAGCCCCCAAGGCCAGGGGGGCAGGCGTCTAGGAGCCCAATACATCCACACGGTCCAGCGCAACCGCCGCTGTCGGATCCTGAATCGCAATTTTTGCGGCATCCATTACCACAAGCTTGCCCAGGTAGGCAGGTTGGTTCTGCAGGTCCTTCGCTGAAAGTGACAGAGGCCGGGAAATCTGGCGGCGGGGGCGGCGGACGAGGATCATCGTTGGAATCATCTGGATTGTTGGGATCGTCCGGGTCCTCGGGGTTTGCAGGATCATCAGGGTCGTCAGGATTATCGGAGGTGGGATAGGGTCTAGCAGGATAAACCCCAGGACTATACGTCCAGGTGATGGGTGGACGCGAGATTGGCGGCGTCGTCTCACCAGGCGGATCAGATGGGTCTGGCGGGTCTGCAGAAAAGGTCTTCGTGAAAGTCATTTCAGGCAGGATGATGCTGCTCGTGAGCCAGATAAGGCTGCCGTCTTCGACGTCGCTTTCCACAATCGCATGCCACACGTCGATACTCGATAGCGTGAGTGGAGACGGTGTGATGGCCGTCGAGGCCAGCGACGCTGCGGTAGTGGTTACTGGTGGCGCGCCGGGTTCATGGGACTGAGTGGTGAGCCAGTGTTCCTCAAACGTCAGAGTCGTCGGTTCTGGCCGTATAGTTGTCGGGGACTCCAGCTGCCAGGGAGGAAACACGAGGGTGCAGGGGAAGAAGTTGCACTTCACAACAGGCTCCTCCATCTCGTAAAGATCAGGGCTGATGAAGACAGTATCCCGGAGATCTCCTGGCCCTTCTCCGATGTCATAATTTCCGTCAAGGTCGACTGCCCAATCCGAGGTTCCTCCAAAATTGAGTCCTCGCACCCAGTCAAGACGTGCGTTATAGTTGTCTTCAGACATCCAGGACACCCACTGAGTATCGTCGTATATCAGTAAGTCGCCCCCCGCATCGTCCGAGATCCACTGGGCGTTGCCCGAGGATGCTATTATTTGCCGAATTTCATAATTGGAGATATACCCGCTGCTTTCGGTGCAGCGACCCGCCCTGGCGCCAGAGTCTGGCCCGGTGAAGCGACAATCTGGTCCGTGGCATCCAGCCTGCTCCATTTGGAAGCTTCGCCCGTATAGCGCCATTCCAATAATCAACTTGCTCGCCGGGACTCCTGCCTTGGTCACCATGGAAAGGGAGTACTCGACTTCCGTCTGATTGACATGAGAACGGAGACAATCACCGGCACTGCATCCTTCGCTTTAACAACAAATCAGTATAATCAAATATTAACGGCGATGAGCATGACAACCTACATGGCCCATTCATTGCCGTAATCCCACTGCCCATGCAAGTCATAAGTCATATAAATAATGTAATCGACCACCTCGCTCATTTCCGCGATGGGGAACCCGCGAAGATACCAGAACGAGGCTGGAGCTGCAATTCCAAGCTCTTTACCCTCAGGTAATTGCCCCCTGACAAGCTTAAGAAACTCCAGGTAGTTAGGCCCGTCTTCAGGTGATCCCGGGGGGATACCCGGAATATCGGGTGCTCCTATGCTCCATGTTAGCTATAGAGAGGCCCGTGGTGAGGGATGCTGACCAGGATATTCCCAGTCGAAATCGACTCCATCGAGTTCGTGGTCCAGCATAAACTGGCCTAATTAGCGATTCTGTACTACCGATTTGGGCGCCATGCTACACACCTGGACAACATTGTCCGCGAATCGTTGCCGCTGTGCGGGTGTTACGCCCTCCCGAAAAATGGGGAAGGAGTCGTAGTCCGTCGAGAAAGACCAGCCGCCGAACGAGAGTATTCGCTTGCCGATTCGAATTGCTTTGAACTCTTCAAAGATGTCATCTAGGCCGAGCAGATCGACTTCGAAGTCCTCGGTGATCCCCGCGAAGGCGAAGTGCTTGTGTAATCTGTCAGTTGCGAAAAGCCACGATAGATGACTGACTCACCACATGGGTAAAAGAGCTGTCAATATGTCGAGGCTAGGTCAAGATTTAGTGGTGAATCTTTCCAGCCTCGTTGTCTGAACTTACCAACATGTGCAAACAAGGTCGATCGGGATTCCAAGCCTCGAAATACCCTACTTTCATGAAGCGGGGTGGGGGTTCGTTATTGTTCACTATATCGATACCGCAACTCGAGATGCAACCATTGGACCCTGGTATCACTGCACCTGGCGCTCCAGTGTCTGATGGGGCTTCGGTGCAGAACTCCTCGGTAATACCGCACTGTCCCCAAACGTTACAACATGTTTTCAGTGGACAAGGGTTAAGGTTTATTAGATCATTCATATCATCCGGATGCGGGGTTCCAGGCTTTTGGGGTCCACATATCGCATTTGAGATTGCTGCAGGCATTGGAGGATCACCTATACTCAGGCAGATCCGGCTTCCAATAACGAGGTAGCCACATCCCATCCAGCCCCAGGTATTCTTGTTGCGCTCTTCAATCTGCTCATTGTCCATGTTATATGTCTCACCAAGCTTAGAGCAGTTGTCATCGGGCTGAATGGTGTACCGTTTGCATGTTCCATCTGGGTTCGGCTGAGGTGAAAAATCAGGCAGATCACCTTCAGTGCAGCAGTAGTGCTCTCCGGCAAATGTGGGGTTGCATACATCTATTCCGTCAGGGCGGGGATTGAACCTTTCGAACTCGTCTATGGTGATGCCGCAGCGGTCTGCAAGGGCCTCGCATCCATCGCCCGGCTGCGCCTGGATCGCCTCGCAGACCGCAGCAGACACGGTGTTTGCGCTGGCTGTAGTGATCGTAGAACCTGAATTCACGCCAACATCTATATCCGTGGCTGGTATCATTTGCAGTGTCTGTTTCCACCCTTGACGGTTGCGAGGTGCAGATATACACCCGGCCTCATTCCACTGGCGCAGTGATCTTTGGATATCGCCTAGATCCTCAGCACGGCCAGCTACCACGCCAAAGGTTTGTGGATTTGGGGTGCGTTCGCCGCCGCAGATCTCAGCGGCAACCCGTCCGAGCTCGGACTTTCCCAGCACAGCATTGTCCAGAAAGTCTCGAATCAATCCGGCAGCTGTAGGCTTCTCAAACTGAGCACCGACAAAGACACCTACGACGTTCTTGCCAGATTTGGCAAAAAGATGTTCCGGAAAGCCGTTGGGGGCTTCGTTTATCCTGGAGGCAAGAGCGCCGGCAGCGGAGGCGATACTCCCAGGGCTCAGACCAGCAGGGGCTTCGTCCCACTCCAGGATTTGAATTGTTTTCCGAGGGCTTTGGACTGCATCAGACGTTGTATTCCGGCGTTTCCCGAATGCTGAGTGAGCTCGATCATCCGAGTTCTGTGTTCCATGATAGAGGTGGCGTCGCAGCCTGGAAAGCGGCCTCTTCGGCTGCCCAGTAGCTGTCGACGAGGCAGTGCAGGCCCTTAGTGCAGCGTGTGGGTTCGGCTTATCCACGTCGTTGTAGATATTCAATTCGAAAATTATATCCTGATCGCAAGAGTCGAGATCCTGTACGCGGGGAAAATAATCCCAGTCTGCGGAGGAAGGAGCATCCTGGCACGTCACAGGGCAGCGACGACGGAAACCCGTTTCTTGTGCAGACGCAAGACCGACCAGAAGAAGATAGAAGAGCGTGGTTACCAAAGGACGAGTGCGACTTTGGCGCGCCATTGTGAGGGAAGGGAACCTGACAAGCGTTGGGAGAGTACTCAATCGACCGTCGCCGTTTGGCTTTAATAGGCCCAGCTGACCGGATTGTCCAGGATGGAGTGTTTTGAGGACTTCGACCCTTCCTAGCCGGGCCATAATTTGACCCCTGACCTTAAGAGCACGGATGCAGGCACATCCGATAGTTCTCAGTACAATATCCCAGCCAAGACTCGCTTGCGAGGCAATATGCAGGTCCAGTCACCAACATGCATTCCATAACCGACGATGTACCCAAACTCCCAATAACTTCGCTGGAGTCACTTCCCTGCGGTTTTATTCCAAATCAACTCTCAGGGGCTGAATGGCTCCAACCAGCGGACTGATCCCCCGAACCGCCCATTGCCAAGATGCACTTACAATGCATGGAGCCTGCGGCAACAGGCTTTAGCGTCTCTGGAGCCAGATCAACCACTTTGACTGATATGATGCCTCGCCAATAACATTTTATCCAGTCATGTTGGGCCCAGGACCAACTGGACGGAGGTTTCTATCTATGGTCCTTGGAGTGTCTCGAGGGAGCGCTACCTGCAATGTAACATCAAACCCTGCTCTATCACAACTGTCTGCTCTCAATCACCCCGTCGTAGACGCCGTGCCAAGATATAACTAGGCTACAGGAGCTATTTCTTTGATGGATGGATAACTAGTCGGTTCTTGGTGGGCGGCCTGGAGGCAGTAGATATTCCGTGTCATCCGTCCATTTACAATTGTTCCCAGTGGCAACAGCGCGTTCTATCTAGTCCCATATCTGAGACTTAAGGGATGCTTTACAACATTTGCTTCCTCGTGCTCTGCACGGCTTTTCTGTCTGAGCATGCTGCCGGGGCCTTGATATCCAGGTAGGTAACAAGCCCCCATGACTGTTTCCGCTTTCTGTATCCACCTGTCGTCTTCTGCCAGTTTGCAGTTGTGACTCACTGGACTCCGTCATCGCTTCTAGACAAGACGAGACAGATGAAGTGCAACTTGGGAGTGGCTGCTATGCGCCGTGCGAGCTCGACCCTTGCGGCACAACCCCATGCGGGGAGATCGCAGGGCTCCGAGGTGTCGACTTTCCACGTCTGTGGGACTACGAGCCCGTGCTCATTCACGATGTGAATAACCGATCGGTCGTGTCTGTCGACGCAGAGGAACAAACCTTGGACAAGCGGTTCTTTCGCAATCGGCAACAATCGACAAGATTTGACATGGAGCCGATGACGGAGGCGCAGGCCAACAGGTATCTGCCTCTAGTTTTCAAAAAGCAAGACAGCAGACCAGACATCTCTGAAGGGCTGGAAGATGGCCAGTACGGACCTGTCCAGGAATTCGCTCACTGTGAGTTGTGTCTTAGCGTTGAGAACTGAGTCTCGTTCGTTGCTAATTAGTCAGTGACATGGGACGATGTAGGTCACTGGATAGAGCGAGACGAGCGGGCTGTCAGACGGCAAGCAACCTTTGGCGCCAATGCCTTCCAGATGGGAACGAGTGGTCTTTGTGGATGCACTCAGGTAACCCTTGTGTCTCGCCGGGCTGTTTGGATGGTAAGTCAAACCCTAACAAATTACCTCAGTTCACCTAATTAATGAATTCCCTCACGTTGGCAGGCACACTTCTGGGAAACATACTCTCATGGTGACTCTGATTGGGTCCCCTCACTGGGGACCCCAACGGCGGCCAACGGCTATCCGCCCGGTCCAGACAACACAGACCATGTCGCCTCGTACAGTGCCTTTGAAGAGCGAATCATCGACGCATTGAGTGAACAAGAACCTGCAGGCCCTACAATGCAGCGCGGCAGAAAGCCCAAGGACTATATAATGCCCGAAGGGCCTCCAATTCAAGCCAACCTGTTTAATCGCCCAGACGACGGTACAATGCTGTTCGTGATGTCGCCAAGGAAGTCAAGCCGCGATAATAGGTTCAGGTACTCGAATCGGGTTCCTCTTATCATGGACGCCATCACGGATATTCTGGGTAGGCGGCCGGTGGAGTACATGTTTCCTTACCTGCCATTAAACATGAGAGTTAGGAGAGACCGCGAACTGGCTGGACAGAATAAGCGCGGGCATGCGCTTTTCCAGTACGATCCTGATGCCGATGGCGCAGGAACTAGGGGCTGGCGATTGATCTACGAAGGTAGAGAATGGCGAGGGTTTCTGACTTGATGTAGAGGTAGTGACTGTATTGAAGGATCCACGGCGAGCCCTAAGCTGGGAAAGAAACTAAATGCAGGTGGGGTAGCCAAGCGATACCCCTCCCTCTATCCGCAGAGTGGATCATCGGAACAACTCAATCAAGACTCTCTTCGTCAAGAACCTTATAAGCTGTATCACACGTCCTTTTTTAGACCATCAACTCATCAACCATGACACTTTTTTTGCATTCTCTACCCCTGGAGGTATTGCTGATTGTGACTGATATTCTGGCTTCCGAGCACCTCCCCAGCTTGCATGCCTTTTCTCTCGCGAGCAAGTCTTGCTGCGCCATCGCTAAGAGCAACTGCTTCCGAAATATCCACTTCGAGACGGTTGCAGAGAACAGGCTCTTGGTTGACATTGAACGCTGGGAAGGCATCCTCCAAAGACACAATGCTTACTCTTCCGTTCATCGACTAACTGTTCACGGCTTTATCCCATTAACAACATCCAACAATGCATCCTATATTGAAACCCCCGATATACCACTGTCCTTTCAACGACCATGCCCCCGGGAAGACGAATGGACAGACCTCAGGTCTCAATACTCTAACCTCCTGTTTCCGGGGCCTAAACCAGCTGATCTCGAAACAATGACCGCATGGGAACCACTAGCTCGGTTTATCAAGAAGCTCTCAGGGCTCAGAGATCTGTTTTGGACCGCATGGGCCGCGTTCCCGCCATGTATACTGGGGGTGCTGCATCAGCATCTCCCAAAATGCCGAATCCACATAAGATCATCCACTCTGAAGCATTTGTATGGATCGTCACCTCTCCCTGCGGGTTACGAATCATACGAGTACGCTCTTGCGACGTCTCCCTCGCTATCCAGCCTGGCATTCAGGATGGGGAACTTGCAGAATGCCGCGGTGTGCACCGAGCGCGCTGTCTTGCGCATGGCTGCTGGACTCGCACCCAACCTAACACAGGTATACATGCAATACGTGAACGAGTTTCCCCTAATATATGACGATACTGAACTGAAACCACCACGCACGCACCTTTTCACGAAGCCGCCGGTCTATCCATCTCGTCTCCGCTCACTAACACTGCACGGCCCTACGCCTGAGAGCACCGAGAGCTGGAACGAATATACCCCTTTCTCCAACCTGACAACGTTCCAGTTGCATGGCGATTACAAATACGATCTTCTCTCAAAGCTTTCGACGTATGATTTCCAGTCCCTGAAGAGCCTCGTGCTTCGATTCACCAATAACATGGCCCCGCGATGCCGATATGGCTTCGTCGCCCACTTGGATACTAATCCTGATAGTTTCCTTACGAAACTTCCTCCACTCGAAAGTCTTCTGATCTCAGCCCCCTGGGCCGAACAGCCTCTCGATATCCCATTCGAGCATCACGGTACAAAACTCCGCAAACTAGGACTCTTGCTTTCCCGCCCACAACGCCGCCCAGGCCGGAAACCACATATCGCTCTTAAACAAATCAATCAAATCAAAGCCCACTGTCACCATCTCCGGGATTTGACTATCCAGATTCCACGGACGCAAGGTGATGCCCATGAAGTGGAGATCTACCGCGCGCTAGATATCGCATCTCTGTCTAGTCTTACGATAGAGCTAGACTGCACAGCTATGAATGATGATATCAAACCCTGTCTCGTGAATTTAGCCATTGATGAAAAGCTCGTTCGGTCTATTTTCTCCACTGTTACAAACTCGTTTTCTCCGTCTTCGTTGCTGCAAACTCTCAGGTTAGAAGTCTTCATGAACACCCCATATGGCAAGCTTGAGATCTTCCACGCGCTCATGAGAGAGACCATCTGGGAGGCTTTCCGCGCACCGGATGGCGTATTCGTGCATGAGAGTCTCCGGGATAAACGCGATAGCTGGCGGAAGAGAATTGCACTGGCGGATGACTGGATGGGCGATGTTCCTGCCGAGAAGGAGTTCAGGGAGCTTTGGCCGTCCAAGGGGGGTCATTGGATGCAGGATTGGCATAGCTTTCCGTTGCAGTTGACTTAGCTTCTTTAAATATTGAAATAGATCCTATTGTATAGCTGGCTGGTTGTCTCGCTGACTATCCCATAATAGCAGAAACTTGGGTTAGAACAGCTACTAGATACTCAAGGTTAGAAACATTTCTTTTAGGCTGACTTACATTATCATTATAGCTGGTCTTTACAGAACGTTAAATGTACGTATTCTACCTGAGAATACCAAAAAGAAATAAGTAACCATCCCCGCTCAGGCTACTTTTACATTCTATTATTCTATTTATTGAGAAATCTCTATTACCAAACACGGAAAAGCCCAATATAGCCACAACGTATAGAGATGGCACATAGCAAACTCGCGTTCCAGGTGAGATATACGCGGGCACTGAGAGTGGCGTCTTAGCATCTCAAGAATGCTGCCTTGTTATATGCCAGCCAGTCTTCAAAACACTGCGATGGCTTTCCTGTTACGCTTTCGGAAGGCTGGAACGCCAACTTCTTTTGCTCGCCCAACGCCCAGAACCTCAGCAGCTGATTCTGCAAATCTTCGGGAATGAAGTCCGAAGTTCTCGACTTCCAATCTTCCGGGCTAACTATAAGAAACTCTATTGGCTGCTTTCCGTCCATCTGGCGAGCGCGATTGATCGTTCGCATTTGCTCACGGTGGCTGATCCAGCCGGGCCCTGTTACAGGGATGGCTTGATTGACGAGTTGGTCGGTAGTGAGGGCGATGACAGCAACGGACGCTATGTCTGATTCAGATACGGGAGCGCTCTGCGCATCAGGGTATGCCATCCAAAGCCTCCCCACATTTTCAATCTGGGGGAGCCAAAAAAGAGAAGTATTTGAACAGAAATTGCCCGCGCGAATGAAGGTGTAGAGAAGGTCAGCATTGACGATAGCATTCTCCACTTTCCGCTGGGCGGTGCCTATCATTCCATCCGGGTCATCTTCAACCGACAAAGACGACAGAAGCGTCACATGCTGAACCCCCTCGTCCTTTGCTGCAGTAAAAAGCTGCCCGAGAGGGGCTTCGGGTGTCGAGTACAGGAACGCGCGATCGACACCGGCGAAAAGTCGATGATACGAGGAGATATCGGACAGATCTCCCCTGAACAACATCAACACCAGGGGGGAACTTTGCTGCTGCTGTATTGCGAGTCGAGACGCGAATTTGAGGCGGAGAAGGAAGGGCGAGCAGTTGCTGCAGGAGTTCGCGCCCAACAGCACCGCTGGCGCCAACTACAAGGACTCTGGGCAAGGACATATTGGGCGCTGGAGAAAGATGGACAAAATTTAGAGACCGAATGAAGCAGCAAACGCTATGGTGAAATAAGTACAAGCAGACTATGACTGGCAGCTTTTCACTGAAGCCAGTGTGTATTTATACTTGTGGTTCGGGAACCACCACGATCCACACAATATCTTGAAAGTACTTAACCGCCAATAAGCTCAAGTTGGGAGCAATTTTCAACCCAAAAGGGAAATTATCTCGGCCGGCGATGATTGCCGCTCCAAGTATGGAATGTGCTGCGGCCGATTTACGGAATCCACGCCGGCAGGGCGCGCTTGTCCGGAACGTAAAGTACAGATAGTGATATCTGTGAATAATTGATACTATAGGAACGTAGAATCAAGGTCACCTCGACATCCGGGAACCCGAACGCGCGCCGAGACTCGGGTTACAAGCCGATCGCGGTTTGCCATGCAGGACCAGTGGCCAAAACCTGACAGAAAGCAGTCCAATAGACTTTCTGTAGACCATCAAGATGCGGCCTTTGCGTCTCGACTCGATTCTCGCAGACAATACTATGTTATAAGTAATACACTGGTGGTATGCTTCCACTACTATTCCTATATCTCACTAACACCTAACTGTTCACTCGATTCCCACAAGTCAAACTCATAATAAATCCAACAAAGTCAGTACAAGTAAATGGTTCACAACTCATGTCTGGACAATATCAGATCAAGCACACTCCTCAGCTTTCCCTCGCAATCCGAAACAGCGTTAAGTGACCTCCAGGCCACAAACCGATCAGGCCTGACTAGCACGCATCCACTCTCTTCCACCCCCCGTTTCGCGGCCCAGTCACGATGGATGTCGATATAATCAAGTCCAAAGCCAATCCCATACGCATTTACAGGAATCCCCGTCGCAGCCGTGACGGCCCTCGCAGCCTGCTTCCATGCGTCCCCTCCAACGCCGAACAAAAGGCAGAAGGCGCCCTTCCCAGCCAAATCCAGCGTTGAAATTGTCCTTTGGCGAGTCGGAACATCCAACCAAGCATGTGGAAGGCGACTACCTGGGTATGTTGTGACTTGTGGACAAACAATTGGGTCGGCTTCTAGTTGTGGTCGATCACCTGGCTCGTCCTGAGTGTATACGGCGCTTGAATTATACCACTGATTGTAAGCGATACCTAGGCTCTGAATCTCGTAGCCTATGCGTTTCAACGCGTCGTCGAGACTTGCTCGGGCGGTGTCACCCTCAACTGTCGCTTTAGAGAGCATGCCGAGCTGCTCTACACCCTCAGCGCGGGTCTGAGCGAACATGCCGAGTGATTGCCAAACCTGCGCGTGTGCTCTGATCCCCTGGTTCGATTCACGGACTAGCGTGGCACCAACTGGCTGGCGCTCAAGGCTGTATGATCTCAATAGCCCTGCACCAGCCAGGCCCTTGGCGACATACGCCACCTTCCAGGCGAGGTTATAAGCGTCCTGAACGCAAGTATTGCTTCCCAGCCCAAAGGCAGGTGGATGCCGATGCGCTGCATCACCGAGAAGAAATACAGTTTCACCGCCGAGTGAGTAGCTGTCTGCGACACTCTCTCGAATAGTCCACGGATCCACGCGAACAACCTCAATCTCAACCCCCTCATCACCAATGAGCTCCCGTACGCAATCAACAAGCTCGGGGCTCTCTGCTGTCAGTCCCTCGAAAGGATTAGATCCCTTCTCACCAAATCCCACGACAATCCACTCATTCCACGGTCGAACCATTCTCATATGCGCAACCATTCCTGGGAACGAGCTCCGGTCACATTTAGCAATCCAATGAAGGCCTGTCTGGCGCTCCCTGTGCATGATGTGCCCTAGGTCCGCACGTAAGAGCACATTGCACGCTTTCCCGCCACTAGGCTGGCTACTGAAGTTGAATCCTAGCGAGCGGGCGACGTGACTCCGGGCCCCATCTGCGCCGAAAAGATAGTCTGCGTGGATTTGAAATGTCTGGGTTGAGATGAGGTCGCGGACGGTGCAAATATACCGCACCGAGTTGGACTCGGAGGTGGTCTGCTCAACGTTTACCAGCTCCGTTGAGAATCGCACGTGGAAGTTATGATGCGAGGCATACTTAACAAGCAGAGGCTCCAGCTCAGACTGCGGGAACTCGGCATGCTTACATGGACTGAGACTTTCGACATCTCCCTACATCATAGACATCGTTAGCAGCATGGCTATGGTGTATCTCAGGACGCTTACCCGACAGGCCGGATGCTCACCCCACCCTCTGACCCTCCCATACTCGGCCCCATTCATTGAGCGGCACCAGCGCATAGACTGAAACACCTCACCTCGCACTGCCACTTGCAAAGCGGCATCCTCGAGTCCGAGATCGCGGAGACACTCTAACGTCGTATTAGTGGGTAGCACCGGGGAATGTGACACTTTTTGCACATACCGAAACCAAAGGGATTGAACGTATGAGCTCTTGGTGTATCTGCTGTCCCGGGTGCCTGAGATATGACTAGACCATGGAGCCCTATATATATTAGTATACTGCCTTATTAAAATAGAGAGCAAGCTCACCATGTTGGCCTAAGAAGGCAGCCAAGCTTGCCCCGGCTGGTCCTGCTCCGATGATCAAGGTGTTTGTATGAACATTCGGAGGATCCATTTTCAACTATTTTGTAGGGAGCAAAATCAATAATTTATTGAGGTAGGATGATATAATATGGGCGTGCCGTGAGGTTGTAACGATAAAATGCTTAAGGGCATCGCCGCTTCTTATGCTCGTCAGACCCTGACGAGCTTACCAAGTCGGCCGTTCTTCTGCGCTTTTCCCATATGATTCCTAGGCCTCCATCAAGAGCGGGACCCAGTGTCTACCTCAACAGGCAGGTTTCTCGGCCGTGGAGAAAGAAGGCCAACGACCCGCAGCTAGTGATTCTAGCAGCTTGCTTGGCTATGTGCTATTTCTTACCTCGTAATGTGGAATAAGCCTTGGTCCTAGGATTCGTTGAGGATAATGATCCGGGCGTATCCCAAAACAGCAACTTTCTCGGCCGCCAGTGGGGAGAAGGAGGCCTTCACCATGACTTTGGTTCAAAATGGGCTTGGAATGCAGTTTTATAAGCTGATACTTCATGCAGACTTTCTGTGACGTATGCTGCACAGGCATAAGGTCAATGGTGGTACGACGTAAACCAATGATGTTTTTGTATAGTGGTGTGGGGAAATTGACTGATCTTGCTACGGTGGAAGGCTCATGAGTACTGGAGCTACTCTACATTGTCGCTGTTGTCTGATGTCCCGATAAACTTGGGTCAGAGCTAGCGACCATTCTCAAAGAGAAGGGGAACTCACCACTAAACAGTAACATGTCGTCCCAGTTAAAGGAGGCAAATAGCGGATCCCAGTCCAAGAGGCCTGTATCCAACCAGTCAAGAGTGTCGACCTCGCCATCCAAGTGCCATTGATTCGCTGCCCATGCCTTGTCTCGAAGTCTTTGTAAACTTGTCCAGTTCGGTGGTGAGTCAGTCGATAGAGCTGAGAAGCACTTGTCTACGGTTTCTCGTAGGTCATGCAATTCTGCTGATCCGGGATTTTGGATGAGGTCTTGAAGTATAATGGCACAGGGATGGATCATGTTGAAGTGGCGAAGTACCCATCGATACGGTGATAACGACATGTCCTGAATTGCCTGCACGAACTCGTCGATATAACCCTGGCAGGCGGAGAGTGTTTTTTTCCTGGCATCGGTCGGCCATTGGTTGGCCCGGAGGTAGGGCTGGTGTAGGACAAAGATCATTTTGAAGCAGCACATTCTCCGACTCGTCGCAATGAATCGTTCAAGAGCGGTGGTAGCTGAGGCGTGGGAGTCCGTAACCTCTTCGGAGCATATCCTTGCCGCTTCGGCGTCCAGGGACTGGATCTGCCGGTATGTCGGCTGGCTAGCTCCATATATTTCCAAAAAGGCCCTAGACATTACCACGCTCACTCTGTGGATGGTGGTGATTAATTTCCGATCTAATGTGTGAGTGCCATCGAGAACGCGCACATCAGAGGTTGCCGGATATATGAGCGGTGGAAGTGCATGGGCCATTGCATATGAGACATCCAGCGCATAGATCGACCACCAAAGCACCCGACGAATATCGGCATTGCGGGCAGATAATTGGAATGACAATGGCTCCCTATGAAGGCCCAGAGACTGCGCAGCTCGCACGAGTACACACACCGGGCCTGGATCAAAGCGTGAACGTTCCTCTGCCGTACTTGGGGTGGCGAGGAGGAAAGCTGCTTGGAGGCTGTCCAGGTCTGGAGAGATAGGATATCCGGCTGAGATTAATAGGTGATTGGCAGTTGCATTCCATTCCAATGCTGTAGAGCTCAACAATTTGCATTCACCTGAGACGTTGATAGAGGACACGGCCGAGTAGCATATTGCTGCAACCAGGGCATATCTGCTGCTCGAACTCTTTCCGTGATTGCGTATACATTGGACGGAGGAGGTAACCTCTTCTATATCAACGAATGGATGCCAAAAGTGACAATTCGTCGCATACCACGATATGAGGTGATCAACTTCGGGAAGGTGGATGAAATCTCCGATTGTTGCACCCGGAGATTGACGATACCCTGAACTGGCCTCGTCGGGACCAAAATCAGCGCCGTTCACGTCACAGCCTTCCACTGCAGCTATCCACGAGGAGCTTGCAAAATATCGTGGGGTGGTGCCAACAGTGGCTTTAAGCAAACCATTCTGGTTAAGAGAGATTTTATGACCCAGCTCTCGCTCAGTGTCCTTAGAGCTGACTTTTCCCGAACGAAGGGCGCCAGCCGACCCTGTATAACTGCAAGGACGACGGTGCGCTATGCAGGTCTGGCACTGGGGCTTGCACTGGTCGCATCTGACCTTCCGTGAGCGACACTGCTGACATGCTTGTACTTCACGGGTCCTCGTTAGCTTCGACCGGTTGAGATTAAGCCGGGAAGTACCAGCCAGTTGCTTTCTCTTCCCCGGGCTCTCCATGGAATATTCTATAGAAGTTGGATTTGGACTGGCAAATCACGGGCAGGGGTAACACAGAAGTGGCTAGTGATTGAATATGAAGGAAATCCTGGGGGACAGTCTGCTTTCGCAGCAGCGGCCGAGAAACCTTCCAAATCCGGCAGAGTGGACTCTCTTTTCGGCCAATCAAATCTTATATTTTCCAGTTACGTCAAAGGCACTTTGTAATAGATCTGTTTCAGCCAGAAGTGTTTCATGCTGGGATACTCCCCTTCCCATAACTGTGAGAGCCGACTATATGACCTCACCTATGCTACTCACATTACCAGCACGTTAAAAGAGCTTAAAATAGTATATTCGACATACCGAAACATTGCCATCCTCTGGTTTGATTGTCCCCGACATTTAACAGGGTTAAACAAAGCCTGGAGTTATTGCCCATAAAAGTATACTTGACACTCACTTTGTATTGACCACATATCGCCTAATATCACTGGCTAGCCGAAAGGGGAATGTGTCTCGGCCGTAAATCTGTTTTCCTAGCCAGAATAGAAGAGGATTCTAACTATCGATTGCTCACTCCCGTGACGTTGGCATTCCCCGCCTTCTTCACATCCTCTTGTGGGCTCCATAACAGGCAGAGAACATTTATTATACAACAGTAAATATATAACAAGCCCACCGGCCTAATGGCACAAGGTCAAGAACTGTTACCGTCTCGACCACTCGCTACGGTCAGTTGTACTTTTTTATTCCCCGCGTGGCATATTTAATGTACAATACGCATGTCTGACAATTATTGTTCTCAGGGCTGCGAACTTCGATTCTTCACGGAGACAAATACCGCTGAGCATTTGGATTCGGATTCGCCACCTTCCCAGCATTACTATACTGAATTAACCTACGACGGAGACGTGAATTCGAAGGTTTTCGAGATTCCGCTACACTGGCACAAGGTACGTGGTCTCCTTATATTTAATTCCATCTTCAGGAAGGCGTTTCCAGAGCTTCAACACCGGGAATTCACATTACCTGCGTGCGCTGGCTGGACACTATCAAAGTCAGCTATGGCTAATACAATAGGTCAAAGCACCATGATGAATGGATGCAAGTAACAGAGGGAGAAGCGTACATCACAGTTGAGAGTCGAACCATTCATGTACAGGCTGGCGACGAACCTATATTTATCCCCCGGTACCACCTACACGGCCTGAAATGCCTACCTGGTGTGAAAATGAAAATACGGGAGTGGACGATTCCCGGTGGGAGATTTAAAGAACGGTAGGAATATTGCATAAAGAATATGCATTATATATCTAGTATTTATAATAGAACACTGATTCTTGGATTGCAGGTTCTTTCGTGACGCATTCGAGTTCGGAAACCCACCGCCCTTCCTGCACATTATGCGTGTGTCCTGGGACGGTGATAACTATCCTTCCTTGCCAGGAAATATCAAGTTTCTGGATCAAATGGTACGTTTTACTGGCCTTCCTTCATTTGTTCTTTTAGAAGAGGTTATTCTGTTCTTGAAATCTCTCTAATATTCATGCAGTTCGTTTTGATCTTTGGTGGCTTGGCCAAACTAGTCATGCCTGCAAAAACAGTCGCAAGGACGGGGGCGTAGTGGTCCCGTGCAGGCACTGGGCGAAGGTGCCACATTGCAGACGATATCTCGACCAAGTCCCCCTCCATCCTGAGTAACGGAGGAGGGTAAATCTAAGCAGAGCGCAGGACATCAAGAGTTCAAGGGTAGGTTGACAACCAGGATATATATTTATTCGCTAATACAATGAACGCCATGTCTTATCAAACACACGATTTATTCCAACTGACCAGTAATTGTCTTATAAATAGCTAGATAGTAGATACTGTGGTAGTCTCCCACTGTAAAAATAAAGTAATTGCTTGGTTGTAGCTTGTTAGCTTGTCGCTCAACTGCTGTTCACCGACTGTGTCACCCAATTTGGGAGAACAGTGCCCTGAACTGGACCATTGGTGGGTCCCGAATACCTCTCGGATTGGCTCTCATAGGGAATTGGCCGTAAGCATCTGGCATTAGTGCCCTGTACGCAGCCAATCCACATACTCGGCACCAAAACTGCCCCATTTTGCCACCAGATCAGCGTCTGCATGAATCCCTCCTCCATCCCAAATCCACCTGACACATTCCGACCACGAGTTGTCCGTCATACACTCGCCTTGATCGTCTAGACTACGATGGCTGAATGTGACACTCCAGAGACCAATGGCGATATATCCATTATTACCCTAGAGCATATGCCACAGCAAATCCATGCCTGGACGGCTGACGATGACTGGACCGGCATCGCAGATTCGAAGCAGAGACGGAAGTTGCAGAATCGGCAGAATCAGCGAAAGTGGCGTATGTCTGGCTTATTTCCTAGCCACGGTCTCCATAGCAGCCAGTGCTAACGCAGTGTAGGCGAGAGAAAGAGGGCGGATAATCAAGGTCGCCAGCTAGCATCACGAGAGAAGACAGTCTCTGTTCCAGGTTTTGATTCATCGTTGGACTCCACGGTAGAGAAAATAACGTGTTCCCATGCCCCACCAGACGCTACAGAGTATCTACGGTCCTTTGAAGCTGCAGTCCGTCTCAGTTATATGACCAGATCACCTAGAAGCGAGCATCTGATCGGCCTCACGCGACTAAATGTACACCGGGCTATAAATGAGAATATCCGGGCAATTGGAATGGACCCTCATTGGACTTCCTGCGATGAATCAATCTCAATTTTTAATCTGTCTCCTCCGATACCTAGCTTGTCCTTGGAGAAAATCCCAGCTAGTTTGCGTCCAACACAAATACAACAAACGGTGCCACACCACCCATGGCTAGATTTCTTCCCTTTCCCGCGAATGCGAGATATACTTATTGCGGCGGAATGTTTATTTGATGATGATGACCTTTGTCATGATCTAATGGCGTTTTGGGATACAAGGAATACAGGAGCGACATTAGTTGTTTGGGGCGAGCCATGGGATCCAAGAAGTTGGGAGGTCACAGAGGGTTTTGCAGAAAAATGGGGGTGGTTGCTGAGAGGGAGTACGGAACTGCTGGTGTCGACGAATTATTGGAGGCGGAAAAGGGGAGAGCGGCCGTTGGTTTGGGGGAGAATTCTGGATGTACAGTGATAATCTATGGGTACGAGGTTGGTCACGATATTCATAAATGAAGGTGTAGATATATCCGTCATTATATTTAATTGACCCATGAAGACTTGGCCCCTACACTCCGTATAGGAGACTGTTGTATCCACCTTGAGTATCTACTGCCAATATATAGCTCCCCAGCTGGTTTCTATAATATACCTTATCAAAAGCTTACTAGTATGGCCCACAGACCGCTTCATGCATGGGCGTCATCCCAATGGCCAATAATCTAATCTATAAGACCGACCCACGAAGGTTTTCGGTCTGATATAAGCACATACGGAATAGTTAGTTAATTCTCGTTTTACTTCATCGTTGATGACCTGCCTGTATTGGAAAAACTAGAATACCCAGGGCTTCCTCCTCATAATGGGAGTTATGAATCTCTCTGGTTGGACACCTTATTTGGACTTTAGCATAAGGAATCTGCATGAGTCGACCCACTTAAAACATACACTCTTCCTGCCTTCCCGAGTTATGCTCTCTGCAGGTATTCTCCGGTTTATGGACAGCCACCCCAATGATCTCATCCCGACAACTTGCGCTATAACAAGACATATCGCCAAGTAAGCCTGCGCGCCAACTCCGTTTGACCACCGTAGAAACCGCACACTCGGCGACATTGATTATGACTGGCTTCAACTTTTCTACGGAGGGAAAATCGGTCGTTGAGAAATGGAGTGAGTTTGTTCAAGGAAAGACAGGTTGGTTCAAGCCAATTAACTACTCGAAACTTCCACTGATAGGAGACAGTGGTCGTCACTGGGGCAAGCGAGGGAGGCCTCGGAGCCAATACCGCCATAGCTCTGGCACATGGGAAACCGCACACCCTGATTCTTCTCGCTAGAAGTGAGGGTAAAGTCTCCAATGTCATCAACTCAATCAAGCAAATTAGCCCCATGACAGCAGCTTCCTTTGTCCGTATTGAGCTCGATGACTTTGATACAGTTCGCCAGGCGGCATCAGCTATACTTGCCCAAGCTGAGAAGATTGATATTCTTATAAACAATGCCGGTGTAATGGCCATCCCATGGGAGAAGAATAAGGATGGGATTGAGAAGACTTTTGCTATCAACCACTTAGGCCACTTCCTCCTCACCAAGCTACTGCTACCTTTGATGATTAAAGCAGGGCCAGGTTCCCGAATTGTGAACCTGACCAGTGCTGGATACAAAATGGGCCCGTTTCGGGTCGACGATTGGAACTTTTCGGTGAGTAACGCCATTTCCACCATCGTTGAGTCTACATTGGCTCACACTGAAGGGATTCAGGACGGTCAAACATACCACCCTTTAACGTCCTATGCACAATCAAAGACGGCAAATATCCTGTTCACGGCTGCTCTAGCCGAGCGCAGCGCGAAATACGGCATCGCCGCTTTTGCCGCACACCCTGGATGTAGGTTAACTGATTTGTCGTTTTCCACACCCGGAGAGGCTAACCCACTACCTAGACATCCCCGGTACATCGCTCACATCGCATATCCCATCCCTAGATCCCCAAGAGATGGATAGAGTTTCCCGGGAAAGTACTGGGGAGCCCTTCGGCCCTGATGAGCCGAAGTCACCGGAGCAAGGCACCGCGACTACTCTGGTCGCAGCGTTATCACCAGATCTGGTCACCAGAAGCGGATCTTATGTGGCGGATTGCCAGATTGAACCAGTACGGGAGTACGCGAAGAGCCCGGAGATAGCTAGCAGGTTATGGAAGCTTAGTGAGGAACTTGTAGGAGAGATGTTTGAGTTATAGTCATAGACGATCTCTACTTCACACATCAACGCGGAGGCCAATATATCTGCCTTGTGCGTTTAAACAAATAGAGGAAAGGAATGGTTATCAAGAATTGTTAACCTTCATACTTAGAGTGTATGACCCTTCTTGAACCATATCACACTACAAAAATTGTGGTTTATTCTCGTAAAAACAGTGTAGCTCTGGCAAGCACCGTCCAATTACTCTTGCTCCCCCATAGAGCGCTAAACAATGCCAACTAAGACCATCAGTAAATACGCTTGTTGAATGGAATTTCGAATTATTGCTTGTTGTTCGTTCTGTTACTGTAGTACTCATTTGAATATGAGATATTCTTATGAACTAGCTCCTCAAAGGGCAGGTCTGGTGTTTATATAATAGAAGGGAAGATTTCTCATAATTACTAGTATTGATCAGCTTTTCATGAGTACAGGTGGCCTCCTTCAATGTAGTGAAATCAGCTGTCTTGTAATGTTTTACTTGTATGAGCATCTTTTCAACAGTGATGGCTGTAAGTTATGTTGTGAATATGACAAAAAAAGCAACGGTAGCTAAAGGCCAAAATGGAGTGGATATTGAACAGATACAGGAATGTTACCTGATGCCACTTTCACTTTTAATCCTCATTAGAGCAGCCCAGTAGTTAGTCAACTCCCGTAGACGGCCGGCTAGTCTGTTTGTTACCGACAGAAATCATGCCTCCTCGGAGCTAGTTTGGGAACATCGTGGCTGGAGAAGTCCAGTCTGTCAAAACAACTCTAGCACTTGACCCGTGTCCTGTAACACGACAAATACACGACAATACTATCCATACTCGGAAGGAGCAATCTGGAAACGCTGTGGATGCACGCGAATGGCCCACTTACAGGTGTGTCAAGCGAACCAAAACAACCCGGAAGAGGATTCCAGATCCCAATCATTCTACTCGCTATCCAGTGGGATGACACATGGCATAATAATGCTATGAATAACTTGATGAGGGGATGGATGAAGAGGTCTGGCCGCCACAGTGCATGCTGGCAAACATAGCAAGTACAGAAGGAAAGAGGAAGAAGCGTTTATAGACTATGCAATAAAGTCTCTAGCAATTTCATGAGACTTCGGACCGGCGCTGGCCCAGATAATCTGTTCAGTTCATCGGGATTGTGTGTTAGTGACATCCCCAGTTTCTGGCTCTCTCATACAAAACCCTTGTACGTTTGCGCGGCCTTTTTATCCCCGGTTGGGCTTCGACGCGGGAATTGGAGTAAGGGACTTCCGTTCCCCATATGAGAAGATTGTGGCTTGGGATTTCTCCACCTTGCAGCCGACGAGCAGACATGATATTTGATGCCCAAGTGGGAAGGCTTGAACTACACACGAGGCGGCGAGATCTTCATCCAAAGGATCATCATTAATCGTGGACTAAAATGTGGGCCAGAATAAGCAGCCTGCATTAGTGCGAAGATGACGAACGAATCAGTACCTTTTCCTTGACGAAGAAACTGTATCATTGGTCGAGAAAGAACTGCCTCAGGCCACTCGTTCTGCGCCCCAGTTGGATGTGGAGACTGACTTAGCGGTATATCGAGCCACCAACACGCCACAGAATAAAATGAAGGTACCTGATCGCAGATGTCAAGCAAAAGTGCCGTTGGCTTCTTGTCGGCTACTGTCCACTGATATTATTTGCTTCGAGCTGCATTTCTCGGTACCCTCGACGTGACCATGTGGAGAGCCAGGGTCCCCCCACATACTCCAAAGCCCTCGTGCACCTAGATTTTGCATTACGTACTTGAGAGTTGTGGGGTCCCCAGGCTGTCCCCGCGAACAAGACACGAAATAATCCAAAGTCGTCCATCTACGAAAGGTGAATACTACAGAAGAACTCCCGAGGATCCTCCTGGAAGGAAAGGCATGATAGGATGTATACCAGGGCGTTGCAAAAGCTGTCTTCAACAAGGATGTGATTTCGGGGATATCTCTCCTGAACGAGACGTGAAAGGATGTCAAGATTTGCTCAGAATAAGAATCAACGGGAGGAGTCCACGCTCTCGAATAAGCCCTTTTACCTACCTTGGCTTGGCATCTGTAGGCCCAATCAAGGGCGTTCTTTGCGCGGGTACCTCGTATTCTGAACTTCTAGAATCGCAGGAACTGCTCTTACATGCCTCAGTATATACCCGTGCCATCGCCGATATCTCACCGATGTGAGCTCCACTGTATTGCCTTTGAGTGGACTGAGTAACTCTGCTTCGGCTAATCTCCTGACAGAGCTCGTTAGCGAGCGTGTGGTGCTCCGAAGTTCGAAGCCACAGGAAATGTACTGGGTGTGAGCAAAGTATAAGAGCAGCCCGCTGCCCCAAAGTAAAAGAACAAGGCTCTGCTTCGCAAGATTCCAACAGCAGCGTAGCATTGATGGTAAGATGGTGCAATTCAAAGCCTGCTTCTTGCTCCTCAATGTGGCAGCTGCGCATGCAGCCGTCCTCCAGGATGACTCTTACTTTTACGGCCAGAGTCCACCGGTCTATCCCACTCCCAATATGACTGGGGATGGCGAATGGGGACACGCACTTTCCAAAGCTCAGAGGCTGGTGGCACAAATGTCCCTTGAAGAGAAGCTCAGTCTCACTGGAGGGGTTAAGAACGACACGAGTGGCTGTGGGGGGAATATTCCGGCTATCAATCGGCTTGGATTCCCCGGAATGTGTCTCCAAGATGGCCCCAATGGGATCAAGGGATCAGAGCTTGTCAACGGCTATCCATCCGGCATTCATGTTGGCGCGAGGTATGTTTCATTCCAGATCCATATGTAAGATCTTTGTTAACATCGACGGAAGCTGGAATAAATCCCTCGCTTACCACCAGGCGCACGCTATTGGTGGTGAGTTCAGACGAAAGGGTGTGACCTTGGCACTCGGCCCACCGGTTATCGGTCCTCTGGGACGACTTGCGCTTGGAGGCCGCAACTGGGAGGGCTACGGCAAAGATCCATATCTCAGTGGCATTATGGGAGCCGAAACCGTTCGGGGTGTCCAAGACAACGGGGTTATCGCATGTGCAAAGGTAAAGAATCAAGCCACTCTCTGTTATTGTATTTATTCAGCTTGAGTAACATCTTTTAGCACTTCGTGGGCAATGAACAGGAGTTACACAGGAACCCTCGTTTAGACGACGCTACTAACAAGACCGTTGAAACCTCCTCCAGTAATATGGACGACAGGACCATGCACGAGCTCTATATGTGGCCGTTTGCAGACGCCGTGCACGCCGGGGTTGCAAGTATCAGTAAGTCTCATGTCCTTCCTGCCTTTGCACTCTACCGGCGTATCGTTTGCTAACCACGCTGTCAACTTAAAGTGTGTGCTTACGAGCGTCTCAACAACAGTTATTCCTGCCACAACAGCAAAGCCCTCAATGGACTTTTGAAAACCGAATTAAGCTTCCAGGGATTCGTATTGAGTGACTGGTTTGCCCAGCACACTGGTGTTGCGAGCGCCATGGCTGGCCTTGACATGGTTATGCCCTATGGGGACATGTACTGGGGTCCCAACCTTACAAATGCAGTGCGCAACGGGTCCGTGCCAGAGTCCCAAATCAACAATATGGCGACAAGAATTATGGCAGCTTGGTATCTGTCGCATCAGGATGACCCAGCTCTCCCGCCCGTTGGTATTGGCATCACTGCAGACTATGGAAAGCCCCATCCCGTTATCGATGCTCGGAACCCGGGTGATGAGGGTGTTCTCCTGGAAGGAGCCATCCAGGGTCATGTATTGGTTAAGAACGTCGATAATGCCTTGCCATTGTCCAATCCACGTATATTATCGATTTACGGGTACGATGCGAAGGTCGCGGACACCAATATTGCAAAGGCCGGGATAAATGGCTGGACTCAGGGCCTGCAGGCACACGATTACCGGAGTGTTGAATGCGGCTTCGGCCTGACTGGGGGTGACTGCCCTCCATTCGCCCCTATTGCCTTCAATGGGACAATAATTGGTGGTGGTGGCTCTGCGGCAATTACGCCCGTGTATATTAGCAGTCCATTTCAGGCCTTGGATGCCCGTGCACGCCGAGATAGAACACAGTTATTTTGGGAACTGGAAGGTGCTGAGGTCACTAACATCGAGTCAGATGCCTGCCTCGTTTTCATCAATGCGGCCTCGTCTGAAGGGGTCGATCGACCGTCCTTGAGAGATGATTACTCGGATGGACTCATCATGGACATTGCTTCACAGTGCAACAATACGGTGGTTATCATACACAATGCAGGTGTCCGACTAGTTGATCAATGGATTGATCATCCGAACGTTACGGCTGTGATACTTGCCCATCTGCCTGGCCAGGACTCTGGAGAAGCCATTACCCAGATCCTGTACGGAGACGTCAGCCCAAGTGGAAAACTTCCTTATACATTGCCGCGTAACGAGTCAGACTATGGGTCACTTCTCAACCCGGTCACATATTCAGGGTGGGACCGGTATTTCCCGCAGGACAACTTTACCGAGGGCGTTTTCATCGACTATCGCGCATTTGATAGAAACAGCATCGTTCCGCGCTTCGAGTTCGGGTTCGGTATGACATATACGACATTTGAGTATGCGAACCTTGATGTTCGTCACACTGTGGATCTATCTGAGCTGTCGGAGTATCCAACTGGACCTGTGATTCCCGGCGGCAGTGCGGACCTTTGGGACACCGTTGCGGTTGTAACAGCTGAGATCACCAATACTGGTCCGATGGAGGCTGCAGAGATTGCACAGCTATATATTCAGATTCCGGATGAAGAGCAGCCAGTCTTACAGTTGCGAGGATTTGACAAGGTAACAATTCCCCCTGGTGAGGCCAGGGCTGTTGACTTTAATATCAGGCGTCGTGATATCAGCATTTGGGATGTGGCATCTCAGCAGTGGAAACTGATCATTGGAGGCCAGTATCCCATTTTTGTTGGAGCCAGCTCCCGAAATATCATGTTGAATGGGACACTGGAATTGTGAGAGTGGGGACTCGTCTGTATCTACGATAGGGAAAATATTTTCTTGATGTGTTGGGCAATCAAATAGCTCTGACTTCCTTCCAAAATATGGGGTTTTGACTGCGCGAGTTCTTCATCTGTGTAATCTGCTCAGGTGCTTTATTGAAGCGAAGCAATAACTCAAACCGTCACCTCTTATATGTTGTGCAACCGGTAGAGGGCTGCTAATCTCAGAGAACTAAGTCGCATATTCAATTAGTTGAGCGTCACAGTTAAGCGTCGTGAAGTCACAAGATGCTCTTTTCGATGCATTTAAGAGTAGCAGATATTTCAGTAGCTTTGCCGCTCACAGAACGTATTTAAGGAACTCACGCTTCAGATCCAACTTCCTCCCCCTCAGAGACGACAATGGCGCCGGATATCTCGGAAAAGGCATTCCTCATCATCGGGGCCGCGTCGGGTATGGGACTCGCTACGTCCGTCTTTCTTGCCAGCCGTGGTGCCCGACTTGCCATTTGCGATATCAACCAGCCGGGGATCGACAAGGCGGCGCAAGACATCGATTCGCAGTATCCAGGGCGTTCGACTTTTGCTAGAGCAGTGGACGTGACAGACAGAGTATCGTTGAAGAGGTTTTTCGAGGACGCATAGAAACACGTGGGGAACATCCATGGCATTGCCAATTTTGCAGGGACTGGAGGGCATCAATTGGGGGTGGAGCCCATATGGCAGACAGCAGAGCAGGAATTCGACTACATTATGAATTTGAATGTCAAAGGGCTTTTCAATACGCTCAAGGAGGCGTTGGAACCAAATTTACTGCCAGAGCTGAGCAGTATCGTACACATCACCAGCATGTTTGGCCAAAGAGGATACGCGAATGGTGCAGTGTTTGCAGCTAGTAAACATGCAGCAGTTGGAATGATAAAAAGCACTGCTCTGGAAGTTGGCAAGCGTAGTATCCGTGTGAACTCAGTCCTTCCGTATGTGGATTCACCATAGCCCTTTCTTCGCCCTTGAGTTTGAGCCGATGACTAACTCAACGACAACAGTCAATGCTCACAAGTATCTAAAGACAGCCTGGTATTCACGGAAGGAGCTTTTGTATTTAGTTGCCTGATTTCTGTGAGTGAGATATAAGACGCGGCATGATCTGATTCAGATTAGGTACTCCGTAGTAGAAAGCAAAGCAGAGAGTTTGCCGGATAGATATTACTATGCCGTAAAAAAGGAACTTAATATGGTTATAGTCTTCACTGGTTGAACTATAAGCTAATAAACAATAGACCACTGATGTAACAGCCTTCAAAGAACACAGGCTTCAGGACTTTTGGACATATGCATTGCTATTGTGACGGAGATCTTATTAATTCACGCCCAGGGTAGCTCCATGCAGGTGGAGCAGATCTGGCAGATCTGTGGGCCCGGTATGCAAGTTGCTTATGTTCCGCTTGTGGCGCCGCAGGGCCAGGCTCGACAAGCGTCTAATTATATCTCCCGATACCGTTACGATACCAAGCCAGCTGGGTAGCCAGGCTGTTCGCTGTTAAGAATTATTTAAGCAGTCTCTTGACTCTCATAATTCTCAGGTGTAGCTTCCAGAACAGGAATCCGTCCACTACTGCTTACACGCTGGGACTCGACTTTGGTAAGGGACATATATCATCATGGGCTATTCTAGAGTGCTAGTCACGGGTGCCACTGGCTTTATGTAAGTGACAACTGCACTGTTAAATGTGCTGTCTTGACTAACACAACGTAGCGGGGGGTCGGTATTGACCCAGTTTCTGGCATCCGAGAATCCAGCCTTGAAAGATTCGACGGTTACAACTATTGTCCGTAAGCAAGAACATGCAGATAACTTGCAGAGACATGGCGTTTCTTCAATCTTATTCACAGGTTTGGATGACACTGAACGGCTGAGACAAATTGCCTCGCAGTTCGATATTGTTGTGCACTGTGCTACGGGCTTGCACACCCAGTCTGCTGTAGCATTGATCTTAGGACTAGGCGACTCAATGAGGGAAAGTGGGAAGCAGACATATTACATCCATGTGAGTTTCTATTGTATTGGATTTTGTGGTTAACTATACGGACAAAACGCCGGCTAACTCTGCAAAGACAACTGGAACATCTAATCTGGCATATGGGATGGTTTCCCATCCTGACGCCGTCATCCCCGAATTCTCCGACACGGACGACGTATATACAGAAGAGGTTCGCCGAGATGCTGACGAGCATTATGATCAACGAGCAACCGATATTGCTGTGGTTAAAGCAGCAGAGGCAGCTGGCGTCAAAGCTTATTTAATGATGCCTCCGACAGTTTTTGGTACTGGATCGGGCCTTTTCAAAAAGCAGTCAATACAGATCCCATTCACTATACAACATGCCATCGATCAAGGATATCCGGAATATATTGGAGATGGATCTGGTACAGTCGGGTATGTGCATATCAGCGATCTCGCGTCGCTATATGAGCTCGTCCTCTGCAAAATTCTCGAAGGCTCCGATGAGTGCCCTTTCGGTAGGAAGGGCATATACTTTAGTAATACGGGAGACTTCACTTGGATGGCCCTTAATGAGAGAATTGGGGAGATTGGGCTGAGTTTAGGTGCGCTGAGCTCCAAAATTCCACGCTCAATCTCCTTGGAGGACGCCTGGCGCAAGTGGGGCTTCGATGGTAATAGATTGCTATTGGAAACAAATCATGCTGCTAAGTCTGTCCCACGGATTCCATTACTGATGGGAAAATATTGACAATTCTAGATCGCGAACCGTCCCAAGGCTTGCTTTTGAGATTGGTTGGGCTCCGACTAAAACGTCCAAGGACTGGGATGTCGGCATTGAAGAGACATTTAGGGCTGTTCTAATGAAACGCGAAAGTCATAAATAATTCCATTGGGGTTTGCACTTTAAAACAGGCAATGAGTCCGAATTACTTCATGAAGTTATGCAATATAATGTCTCTCGCCAGTGAGATATTTTTGGTGGGACGGGTAGAAAGAAGCTGTGCTGGCGACCATTGCACAAGGACAAGATGATAATTCACCAGCATCTCTCTGGAAATCAGCAAACCGAATGCATGCCTTAAACTCCCGTGCTGTAGGTCGACGTACAAAGGATCGACCAATTAAGCAGGTTAAGGTAGGATTTATGTATACCTGAGTTCACAAAACTGTAAACAAGATTAAGCTACATCAAGCGGATGGCGGGTTTGATGCTAAGGATGTAAATGAACGTGCTTGAACTAGCCTGGTCATCAGACTTGAGCATTCCCGTGTATTGAGGCCTATATTCATTGATTTGCGGTGTAGAGTGGCTGAACCATTGATAGACTGAAATATTGAGGAATGAACAGGCCTTTCCATTTTTCATAATACTGCTTGAGACATTCGAGCTTTTGGTGACTCAATTGCTTCCAGTGAGATCTGAGACAAGTACCATGGATGGGCCTGTCACTGTGACTGAATATGGGTGTAACCACCATTTGGCCGCGCAGACAATTTATCAGTACGGCCAATGAGGCTGCATCTCACGCCCCGCGACAACAGGAGGGTGCGCAGATACCATAACAGTCACCATTCGTGCCCAACTATCTTCCTGGTTGCTCCATTTATGCATTGTTCCTTGCTGAACAACCGTATCACCTTCCGCAAGCGTCACTTGCGAACCGTCCTCCATGGTAAGGGTGACAATGCCTCGGAATACCAAAACGTAATCAAGCGTAACTGAGCGGTGGAATGGGCCATCATATCCCGGTGGGATATCGTAGGTAGTAAAAAAAGACCCGCTAGAGGCAGCAGAAATATCAGGCAGTTGATTGATAGCCCGTCTGCTTATATCGGCAGGGCTTTCGCTTGCGGACCACAATGGAGTTCCAATGGAGCCATCTCCAAACGGTGTACTTGGTTCTTCAGTTCGCCTTGACGTTGTAGCGACGCCGGATCCATTATGGTAGGTGACAAATTGCTGGCCTTGGGGGAATCGCCCGCGAGAATTATATGCCATAGGGGTCCGACCTTCTCTGTTAGGTAATCTCCAACCCAGTAAGATAGTTATTAACTAGGGTAAAATGATATATAATCCAAGTCTTTCACGCTGGGCGAGGATTAGACAATTTAACTGCTTGTTCCCTTGGGGAGCTCCAAGACTTCCATCTCCAACGAAAGGTGGGACCCATACTATCCACCATTCATTTGTCATTATATGCTGATTAACTAACTCGTGTATTCCCTTTGCGTAAGCTACTTGCAGCTGCAAATCAGAAATAGGTACTGGCCTGTGCGGAAAATACCCACCGTAACCCACCAATGTCCACCCGTCAAGAGACAAAAGACATAAATCTTGTTAGAAATTCATTGATAGGAATGGAGGATCCAACTTGCTATTTCCAAAAGAATCATTTAATTTCATTGAGCGGCCATTGCTTTTAATGTGGTTCGTGGAACTCTTCAGGGCCGACTTGGTGGGGATTAGACCAGCGCGAAACTTACTGTAGGAAGAACTTCAAGAAATGGCCGACCTTACTCTTCAAGCTGATACAGCTACTAGTTACTCCAGAACCTATTGGTATCGAGTAGGTTACTAGCTTTATTGAGCAAAGAGAAGAGGTCAGAAGTGCAGTTGTATAAAATCATAACTATTCTCGAGCTCCATGTGAGAGTCTCCAGGTTATTAGGTGTAAGTAGGGTAATAATTACCCCCCATCTCTTGTTAAAGCTGCAATTCGGTTCATTTCTCTGCAAGTTTGCCCTTCTTTGATCACTTATCACATTCAGGGGTCCGGCCGATCCGTTGCGGCCGAGAAGATTCCCGTAACTGACAACAAAGGATAATTAACCATGGATCGACACATATACAACCTTAAGCTCATCTCTTGAAGAAGAAATTTTCTCGACCGCCGTAACTCTCTGCTACTCGAATCAGACAGTGTAGCTTTCGGCCTCGGAATCAGTCGAGTCCGAGCACCAGAATACCCCTTGGTATAAATACGCGCTGATTCCCAACCTTTCTGGGACTTTCGCAGGTGCTGTCGACACATCCTATTATCAAGAAGAACCAAAAAATTATTCGATATGCTCATCTTGGTCGCTGGCATTACTGGCTTCGTTGGTGTTCCGTGCGCCAGGGCTGCTCTTGCGCGTGGGCACAAAGTCCGGGGCCTGGCTCGAGATGTTAATAGAGTCCCTGACGATGTCCGCGATCAGCTCGAAGGTTTTGAGACTTTGTCCGGCATCTATGATATTGATGCAATGGATGGGCCGTCAGCGGTGTCGATGCTATCATTTGTTCCTTTGCCGGCCTTCCAGAAATATTTATAGAATCGCAACTACTTCTCTTAAGGGCGGCAGAGCGCGCAGGAGTCAAGGTACAGTCGATCAGCATTATCTCGATTGTGGTAGCAAACTAACTCCATTCAGGTATTCCACGCCAGTTCTTGGAATTATGACTGGAGACTTTCCCCGGGAACGCATGAGATTTATGATGACATCAGGGCCTTTGCTCATCATGCTGAGGTCAGTTCGTCTATCAGGCCGATTTACATGTTCACCGGCGCTATCGCCGACTATTATTTCTTTAAGAGCCCGTCCGATTGGGATACAGAGACGAAAACGTTCAGCTTCCATGGACCTTCCACATTCTGCACTCGCTACACCACAGCGGAGGATATAGGCAACTACGTACTGGAAGCGGTCACTGCTCCGGATGCTGCCAATGGAGGATATATCTTTGTACAGAGCTTCGAGGCTTCTCCGGAAGATATCATCAAGACGTACAATACTACCAAAGAAGGAAGGGTCACGGCGAAGCTTAATTGCTTGGGAACTCTGGCGGATGCGAAGGCGAAGTTGGATAACGGCAGAGCCAATTATGGGAAGAAAGAGTGGTATAAGTATATCTGGTACTGTTACCAGTATCACATCCCGTCTCGCTCTTGGGATTACGAACCAGTGGATGTTGCCCGCTTCCCGAGCGTCAAGCAAAGCAGCTTGGAACAGTTTTTCCGCCAACACCCAGCCATTTAAATAGGTCTCTGTATGTTTACCTACTTGTCGACCTTGTATTTAAACACATGAACTCAATCTGTCAGAGCCTTCCGGCCAATGTCACGTAATAAGTGTCATCTTACTCGGAGCAATACTTTGAATGTGTCCTAGCACCCATGAAAAGAGTCGTTTCTATTCCTCGACTTCAGACTCGGCCAAAGGCAATGATAGTTGTCAGCGAGCTTGGTGTCCTGAATAACCACATGTGAAGTAGCTCGTGTGTTTAGTGTGTATGACGATTGCGACACGACGCATGCGAATAAGCGAAGATAAAAGCTATATCTAGCTAGACATCTAGGTTAGAAAACCACCCTCAACTTCAGCTTGTCACCATCCTCTATCTCTTTCCTATTCCGCAGAAGCTCTGACATATCCCAATTAGCATTGATAAAGCGGCCGTTGAGCCACGGCCTCCGCTCCTGGGCTAACCATGCAATCGTATCGCCTGCCAGGGACGGATCATCAACCAAGTATTCATGGAGAGCCTCCGGCATCCTCAACGCAAGCTCTGTAGCCGCTCCACCTGGATGTAAACAAAAGATGACCAACCCCTGCTCGCTATATTCATTTGAAACGATCTCACTCATTTGCAACAACGCGAGCTTGCTTGTCTGATACGCAGAGGAGCCAGGCGACCGGTAAAGAATGCCAATAGAACTTATATTGATGATGGTCTTTAGGGTTCCCTGAAGCAAAAGGGGAACAAAAGTGCGCATCATGAGATATGCACCTTTCACATTAATCTCCCATGAATGCCACCAGTCGGCAGGGTTGGACTCTGCAATTGGTCGCCAGGTCTCGAGGTAACCTGCATTATTAACCAGGACGTCAAGGGAAGTCAGTTTGGGTGCGATATCTCTCGCAGCAGCAGTGACACTGGTCTCATCACAGATGTCGAAGTTGAGCTTAAGCACTTTTGGTATAGGACGGCCCGCTGCCGCCGCTGCCTTCACAATGTTGTCTTCAGTTTCATCAAGGTTGCTTCTCGCTACTAGGACAATAGTAGAAGCGCCTGCCTTCGCGAACGATATAGCGATAGCACATCCTATTCCTCGTGACGCGCCGGTGATCAAAACCGACCGGCCACTATGGTTGTATTGTTGAATGGCCGGATATGACGTATGATGGGTGCATTGTATATAATCCATGGCGTTTTCCGCGGGAAATAGTCTTCATCAGGTCAGCCACAATCGCAAGGAAATAACTTAAAACAGCTTACCACTTCCACAAGACGCATTCGAAACAGTGGATAAACTGGTTCCTCGTTGGATGTCGCTGGAAGAACAGATAGATTTCGCAACAATTGCTATACACTGCCCTCAGTGACTTATAAAGCCTGACGGCAAGTTACTCTTGTTGTTTCGTATGCTGTATGTAGGCACACAGCATAGGGAGCGGGAAATTATTGCATTCTTGTTAATTTGACTGCGAAATATTAGCATCCATTCTCCGCTTGCCAAGCCGCGGGGAGGCGGCCGAGAGCCCTGCCGTTTCTGGAAGTCGTGCGCACATCGACAAATATGACGATTCCACTCCACTCCATTGTAGGGACGCCTGTTAATTAGATAATGCGGCTATGGCGAAAGTATGCTGCTGCAGAGATATTTTTTAGATTAATATCATTTTTAGATTAATATCACTGAGTCTTATATAACTATATAGGTACTAATAATTAACACGGAAAATTATATCGCCCTATATTCACAGCTTTATTCCCGATATAAACAGTGGATATAGCACCTTCATTGCTCCGGATGAGTTCACAGCGCGCCGTTTCTAATCAGAATCATCCCGTTCATCTTGATTATATATATCTGCCCCGCTATCCAAATTATCAATGTGTAAACCCTAGTGGACGGCTCTTCCAACCGAGCCGTGACGGTCATTGAGCCTCTAACAGGAAGCGACAACCTCGAAACCTCGAAATGTCTCATTATCGCCTACCTCAGAGTGAGGCAGGTCTAGGATGTGGTGTCGGGTGACATTTCAACGTCCCCACTCCCTTTTCAAGTTTGTAAAGCTAATAACGGCAGACATCACAAAACGGGTGGGCGAGGCAGCGAACCATTGGCACGCACTTCAAAGTGAAGAACCAAACATACGAGTTGCATTGCGCGTAACATCAGTGTGCAGGCCGCGGGACTGGAGATGTCCCGGAAGCTCTAGAATGAACTTGAAGAAGGCACTGGTGCATGGAACCCACTACATTAACTCACGACATCTTACGAGCTGTCTGCACAGCTTCATGAAACAGCAACAGTGCGCTAGCGCCTGCGTCGGATTCGCTGATCCTGCGGTGCTGTGTGAGCCAGAGACCTCAACATGAGTCCAAGTGGCGAGGGCGCCGGTGATTTATGACTATGCAGATTGCTGGACTGATCTTAAGGAGGCTGTTAGAAAGCAGCAAGACATTCTAGGCCGACCTGGTTGCTGGGAAACTGGGTTTCTGAAAAGCCATGATCTACCCCGAAGTGTTTCCATCCTCGCGACGGACAACCCAGCGTACCGTGTTCGTTCTGTTAGCCGACAACTCCTCCCATGGCATGTAATAGTGTGCATGGGTATAATTTACTCTCATGCACGGTTCCGACAGTATATATGTTGGTTCCCAAATCCCCTGTACACGACGAGTATGATGTATGATGTGGACAATCAGTCCATTCATGGGCAAAGTGCCTTAGCAGTGAAGGCGAAACTCCACTTTCTGTGACATAGCATGAAATCTGGGTGATACTTCGACGATTGTAGAGCATTATTGGATGCAACTGACCTGAGAATTCTATCCGAAGTTGCATCCAGTAATTGCAAATTATTTTAAGGAGCGAAAGAGGAGCGTGTTTCGAAGAAGATGTTGGTGTAAGTGTGTAAATTGAAAGGGCCCTTGTGGGAGCCCAACAAACTAATTAGAATATAAAATAACAAAGTGCGTTCGTACCTGGGTCATGCGCTTGTGAGGGCTGTGCCCGAAAAGAAGATAGATATCCGAGCGCACGCCGATATCATTCCAATTACATTTTCCGGGCGCTGTGATATGGGTTTTATCCCGTCAGGGCACCAGGACAGCCTCGAAACGACGGCTTGAAGGCCTCTCCCGGGCCAAGGGCCTCACCAAAATCTCGCAAAAAGGCCCATTGACTCTTCTCCCGCCACCCGTTTGCTTTCCACTCGTTAGCTCGTTGGGGATACACTTCAATGACGCCTCTCAGAGTGTCATCGTGTGCTGCGATGAAGAAGACATCTCCCTCGGCGTCAGCGTCCTGAACTCCGGCGATCGTCTTAGGGTTAGGGTTAGGGTTAGGGTTAGGGTTAGGGTTAGGGTTAGGGTTAGGGTTAGGGTTAGGGTTAGGGTTAGGGTTAGGGTTAGGGTTA